TGTAACTTCAATGCTAAGTTAATAAAGTTCGCATGTAATGCACTTTGCCTCTAAAAAAAAAAAAAAAAAAAAAAAAACAATATGATCTTTAATAAATTATTAAAATTTTTAATCTGTAGATTTATAGTACAATGGTTAGTGCTTTACAAATCAAATCACAAAATACCAGTTTAACTTTATATGAAGGTAATTAAATTGAATCAATATTATATCTGATATCATAACCTGTTATATGCTGTTTCTTATGTGAAAACAGTTAAATAAAATCAATATAATATCTGGCATCATAACCTGTTATATGCTGTTTCTCATGTAAAGTTGTTTTACATATTAATCCAACAGATATTAAAATTGTAATTTTTAATTAAGATATTATAGCACATTAATTATTTAGTTAATATTACAATAATCAATATTACACCTGATATATTTTCCAATTACAATATAAATCATTTTCCTTTTCTTCCACAAGACTATAAAAGAAAGCTTGTTAACCTGATTGAAATAATTATTGCAAAACATGATAATGTGAAGTATTACTTGGGCCACTTTATAGGAATTGCACTTTGCTTGATATTCATACTCTTAGATTAAGGATCCTAATGATTCTCATTGATTCTATATTCGATTCTCAAGTTTATATTAAATTTAATAGGTGGGGTATACTATACATGTTGCTGAAATTTGTAGATCCTTGACGCAATTGACGCAATTATTTGATGCAATTAATTGAGTCACTATTAAAACATATAAATAATTGAGTCATGATGCAATTATTTTTGAGGATTTTGGAAATTGAGTCAACAGCAAATAATTTATACCACATGTATAGGGTATACCCCACCATCATTTTTAATAATGTTCCGAACCTCATGCGATTCCCTGCAATTCTGTTCGATTCCAATTTTCAGAACCATATCTTAGATTTGACAGCCTAAGCCAACTAAGAGCCTATGAAGTATTCACTAGAGAATTTAGGAATTGCATTTCACTATGTCCAGTTTTGGTAATTTGTGTTAACTATAGAAACAACTTTTGAAGCATTTATTAGAAAGTGTAAAGAAATAAGACATTGAGTATCACAAGGTATGAGCTGGCTATAAGAATGTAATAAGAATCCTAGTGACAGTCAACAGATATAAGCTCTTTGAAAAAGGTCATTCCTGGTGTACAAACCCATCTTCTCAGTGTAAGTTAGGACATTCAGATTAGAAAAAGGCAACACTAAGATTAGGGTAGCTAGAACTAGTTAGTCAGATCTTTCATGTAACAACTGTAACTTTAATAACAAAGAAATAATGAAGTCATATGCAATGCGCTTTGCCTTTAAAAAAAATTTTTCAACAATAATAATTATACAATATATACTAATAATATCAATTATTATTTTTTTCTTCCTTTTATGACAACTTTAAGAAACGAATAACGCGTCTGCGATAGATTTTCTTGTTCTACCGGAAGTCAATGAAGCCGACAAGTCATTCATGGGTGGGGTCGGCTGATTTGGGGATACAAATTTGGAGTCTGTTGGGTACGCAAAGCCCGCAGTAGAGTGCCCTGTTCTATCAGAAGCCAGTAATTGGTAAATCATCGTCAAGGGATGACCAGCAGTTGTTAGCAATGAATACCTCTATTAATAACGTTAGTCAAGCATTAAAATTATTTTTTAATTTTTAAAAACTCTTTAATAAATTATTGCACGATTACAATTCTTAATTCTTTCTTATTTGACTAAATTTTAAATATACTGTATCTACAAAATTAATTGACAGTTGTTTATCCATTAATAAAAGAAATATTGAACAAATGTCAAGAGCAGGTGTATTGGACAACAATATATCGATAACTTACGCTATCTTTTTTGACGCTTTTTTGATTTTTCTCTTTGATCAACTCTCTTCATCGCCCGAGCCTCTTTTTTCATCCTGGCGTCGACCATCTATAATGCACGTATATGATCAGGCATAAAACTTAAATAAAAGCACCAATGAATAGACGTTAAATACCTTATATCGTCCTTTAACACCTTTCGGTCGTCCTTTTTTACCTTTAGACGAGCCCTTAGCAACAACCAACTTCACTTCTTTTTTCATTTTTTTTTGTGATTTACTGATTAATTTCGATATTGTTTGAGCCTTTTCACCTTCAGTCATCTCCGATGTTTCTACAATGGCGTTGGTTTTCTTTTGCAGTTTAGCAAGTTTCTTAAAGGCCTATCGAATAAATGCATTATCAGTAAAAACATATTTTTATGACTCCTTTGAGTTAAAAAAACACTCACCCTAATCTTCTTTTTTGCTTTTGCTTCGGCAACCTTTTTTATTGGTCGAGCATTTAGCGCCTTCATCCTCTCTCTGATTGCTTCAACTGCTTCCTTTGTTATTGGTAAATTGGGTCTATTATGTTTTCTTTCATCATCCAAGAACCACCCAGGTAATCCTTCACGATCATTGAACGTATATCGTCGGAAGCCATCGTCAATAAGTTCTTGTTTAGTTTTACGTCGATTCACCAGTTGCTGAGCAAGGGTCACTGCCTCCGCAGTAATCAACCCGTTTTCTAAAATGAATTAAAATTAGAAAAAATTTGCAATGCTATCATTACTTCGTTGTTAAGAGAATAATAAATAGTATTACCTCGTGCTCTTATCATTTTCTTTTCATCCTCGTCGGATTCGTTGGCATCCCATAATTTATCATCGTTTTTTTCCAGAGGAACTATTTCAACTTCATCTTCTTGATCAATCTTCAATAAAATAAACAAAGTTAAAGAAATCGGAATTTTTATACAATTACATAATCATATTAAGAAACCAACCTCATCAGCTTTACGTTTTAGTGAACGTGACTTATCTTCTCCCTCAACGTCATGCGACTTCGTGTCAACCACTTTTTCATCCGTTTCCATTTCACATTTTAAACCATTATCGCCATTTATGAATTGCTCTGGGTCGTTTTCTTGACCAAAATCTTTAAACAACGGCTGATCAAAAAATACGGTCGCTTTTTTACTTAAAGCACCAGGTATCTTGATGTTTTCGACGTCCTTTTTGTCTTCAGTTAAATCAGTTAACAATTTTTTCTTTTTTTTCGTTAATCCATTCGCTTTTATCTTATTTTTATCTTCTTCATGCTCGGTATCACTGTCATTAGATGATGAATACTCCTCGCTTTGTGACATTACATTTTCTTCTGTATCACTATCATCTTTAAAACCGTTACTCTGAACATCATCTTGATCATTTTCTTGCGCTCTGAGTTTTTTTACTCTATATTTTGCATCACGTTCTGCTTTGCGCTCTTGATATTGTTCATATCTGAAAATTTTGACATCAATTAGTCTTACTCTTAACAGGAATCTTCAATTTGTAAAAAAGAATTTTTTATACAATTCGTCTAATTCCTTCTCTAGGTGAGTTATGTCATCGTCGTTCTCATTTGCACTTTCCGTATCTTCATGTTGGTCAATGAACATATCTTCATTTTTTTCATCTTGATCAAGAATAATATCCATATTTCCTTTACGCATCTTACTCAATATCTACAAATAACATTGTTAGCAGGCGTTTCACATGAGTATATAAATACTGATGATTAAAAATAGAGAATTACCCCATTCTTATCTACTTGTTTCAAATTAAACAATGAATTATCATCATCTAACACGATATCAGTAGGCGATATCATTTTCAGTTGCATGCGTGTAACATTTTTCTGACGCTTTTCGTTGATCTTTCTACGAAGTTGCTTGCGACGAGTTTGTTCTTCCTGAACGAGCCTATCCAACTAATTGTAAATACATATAAAAATTTAAAATCGAGTGTGCAATATCTCTCAACAGTAACTCGTTTATACCTCTTCTTGAATAGCCTTGTCTTCATCAATTTTCTCCTCTTCAGCAGTTTCTTTCACATCTTCCTTAACCGGTTCCTTCAACTTAGAAAAGCAATCAAAAATCAGTTTTGGTTGAGCTACATTTTATTTTCGGAAACACAAATCCCAATTTCACTCACCGATTCTATAATATTCTTTCTCCACTTCAAAAGACTTTTAAATTCTCTTTTTCCTAAAACCTTCAAATCCTCACAACACGCCTTAATTTCTTCTGTTGTTGACTCATGATTTAATAATCTGCAGTAAGCAATAGATATAGTTAAACAGATTAGCATAATCCAATTATCATACTAATTCAATGAAACAAGGCAATATATTCTTGAAATTGACTTATGGGCTTCATCAGTATCAAATTTTAATTTATTAGTAGAACCAAGAATCTTAACTGGGTCATCCGAGTTAATGAATTCAAATATGGAAGATTCCTTGTATAAAGTGTAGACTCCATCCTCATAACCTTCTCTGTTTCTTTTATTTTTTCCTGATTCTAAGACAGATTTACTTGTAGGTCCAATATCAACATCCTGAAAAACTGCTCGAGAATCAAGAAATTTAGGATCAATTTTTTTAGGAGCGAGATAATCGCGGCAGATCACATAGATTTCCGCAGAAACATTCCTTGAAAATTATCAAAGTATTTTAATTGTGAGCCAAAAGAATTTGAATTCATAAATAACTAATGATCAATCAAAATTTTATTTTCGCACACCTAGAAGAGGCCGGCTTCGTAGCTTCTACCTTTTTGAAAAGTTGATTAAATACCCATATTAAGTTATTATAATCTTTTGATCGAAAAATTTTGGTTATAAAGGTGCCTATTTAAATCAAAAGAATAGGAACTTAGAAGGAAACTCCTTTGAATAACGCCATGATATCATGATTTATGAATACCTCCTTCGTTTAGAAATTCTACGGCCAATTTCAAAGCTTTCAGCGTCAGTTCGGATTGTGAAAAAGCGTCTTGTGACCATGAAATACCAACATTGGGCGCACCATCGTGAAGAACCCTTATAAAACGTACTTATGGTAAATCAAATAAAAACAATTAGATGTGCAAAAACACTATAATAGAAAATATTTCCTACACATCAGCCTTCCAAGATTTTAATTCATTTCGAAGCCTGGTTCTACATTTATCAGTAGTTATATCTTCTTGGAGTGTTATGACCTTTGGAATCGGTTTGATGGGAACAAGATCGACACCTTTTATAAGATTGATATATTTAATATAGATATATATCTTTCTCCAAATTTCAAAGTATAGGTGATAATTCGGTTACCTATGATCAGACTCGACACTGGCATGTATTTGCTTGCAACTTGTAGCCTTAAGTTATTATTTTTTTGTTAGTTTTATTGTTGAGAGAATAATAATCAAGATTACATTAAAGACGTGTACCTACCATCCACCAGGAGCTGCACATAAATCTATTAAACATCGAGATTTCTCCAAAAAATTATATTTTTTGTTCAACTGGATAAGCTTAAACGCCGAACGCGCACGATAACCTTGCTCTTTGGCTAAGTGATAATACTTATCCAACCGTCCTAAAAGGAAATATTATAATCAAAACTATGAATTGACTTTCACCATCAACATTTTTTTTGACTCGAACCTTTTGCGGTTTTTTTATCTTTTTTTCCCATTTTTCTTTTTCTGGTGATCAAAGTACAGTAAAGTGTAGGGAAAAATATGCTGATAATCGGTTTTAGTTCCACAAGATCGGATTGACGATCCATGTCATTCGTAATAATTAATTGTTCCTGATCACGTAATATAAAATATTTTATTCTATATCTCATTATTTTTTATTTTTAAAATATACCTTTACAAAATTTACATAAAATTACTCTTAAATCCTTTACACTAAAAAATTCTATAGCCTCATAAATTCTTTATAACTTCGTAGAAATAAAATCAATCAACTATTCGTATTACCAATTATTTATAAATAAAGGTTTGATTTTTTAAATATTAATTACCAAGTAGACTAACCTTTCTAAAGGATCAAAATATTATACACAAAAAGTATGAAATTAAAAAAGCAGGTTTACAATCCAGATGATAACCAATGATCCAAATTCTTATTTAAAAATAAATACAATGCCTGATAGTGGTAATCAAGTTTCCGCATAAAAGGAAAGTCTGTACATTAACATGATACCAACCCATCTAAATTTTTTCTTCTTATTTTAGTATTTAACCGTCTTTCTTCGTATATGCAAGGGCATCGATTAGAATAGTAATCACACCAATCATAATCTCGAAAGCTAACAATATATAAAGAAATAATTCATTTTATCTATCAGTTAAACGAGGACTTGTTGTAACATGAACTTACCAATTAGAACTATTACTATCCATTCAAGTTGTTCCCCTAAATTTAAAGAATTTTTGTCAATAACTATGTCTGTTCTAAAGGATAACTTAAGGAGTACCATAAAGAAAATTATATATATACAAACCATGTGAACTTGTAAGATGTTCCTTAAGCATATCCAACAGATCACCTACGAAAAAATGTATTTCTGTAAATTTTATGTCAAATAACTATGAGTGCAAGCAGAACAACTCATACGTACTTATAACAGCTACTCTTTGGTTGAGAAGCTCAACGCGGCGCGAAATTTCAAGATAACCTAACAGTAATCAAAGTCAAATAAAACTGATAGTAACCTCCAAGCAAAAATAAAAGGTCACAATACCTCTTATTGCAGCGTATAGTGGTTCGTAAGCGGGCTCAGACCAGAATATTTCAGGAGTGTCCAAAACATTGCTCACCAAATTAACATTTA